TACCAATGATAATATATTAAAAACCGTATAAAAATCAATCAGTAAAATAATTAATAACCTTTATGAGAATATGTGTAGGTATCGATTAAATTATTATAAAATTTCGATATGTATAAATATAAATATAAATATATCCAACTTAATTGTACGATTGATGTTAATTTAAGTTAATATATATAATTTATAATTTGAAATATATATAATATACACCTCTATACTCGTGAATTATGTCAGAGTTTCATTATAAAATAAATCATATATATATATCTAGGAAATTTGTACTCATATTGATACAGGCTGATCTCAATTGTTACACGTATCTACTATAATTTATTTTAAGTTAATATGTTAACAAATAAATAAATGACAATTCAATATTGTATATAATACATATATACGTATTTAGTGTGTAGGTATAACATAACTGTTGAACACACGGATCACGTCCAAATAAACGAAAGTGGATGTCAGACTGTTATGAAATTGTTATTAATGGTATTGATATAATAATAATAATAATAATATGTGGTATGCATGACATTATTAGTTTTATTTTACTATATACAAAATACTAAGTTTGGTCGTCATTGAGTTGTATTGCTTTTAGTTGCTTTTATAAAGATAGTATTTTTTACAACGTATTATATTAGCTTTCGTTTTTTAATGTTTTATATAAAATATATGTTCAGTATAAACATTGAGTTGAATCTTATTTATTCAGTTTTTAATATCGGCTTAGGTATATCCGGAAAATATTAATAATTTATTATTTCTTTGAGCATTAATCAAGATAACTTTAGTTACATTTTTTGAAATTAAATATTAATGGAGGACTCTTATGTAAACTATTTTTAGCGCAGACCGAATAAATATGACTATCTAGTACCTACTAGGTACTATACTACTTTTACTACAATTACATAAACTAAAAAGTGTCAAAATATGTAGTTGTGGTTGTATAAGACTGTGTTTACTCCAGTAAATACTGCCTTTATAATTTATACTTTTACATTTGTAAATCAACAGAAATGGAAATGCCGATGCCTGGAGTTTATCCACATAATTTATATAAGTGTCTTAACATAAAATATATTATATGTATATATCTGATCTGACGTAGATATGTATCTTATATAGATTTAGATAGGTAGGTAGGTAGGTATAGTGTAGTATAGATATATTGTAAAGCAATGTTTGTTTAGGTTAAAATTCAAAAGTAAATAATATTATAAAACTATTAAAATTAAAGTGATATTACTAAATTTGTGATTTAAAAAAAAAAACCTTAAAAAATAATATCTGCTCTTAATTGTTTTCATAAATTGTATTTTATGAAAAGCGTTTCAGCTTTAAAATAACTTTCTAATTATTTATGAAAAATTTTTGTGAAATTTTTAATTGGTGCACGAATAAAACTCTTGTGAGAAACATAGATAACGGTATTCATTCTCATAAGTATAGTTTCATTTTTTTAGACAGTTATAAACATATATTAAATAGATAAATATACTTGAAAATATTGTTGAAATTAATAATTGATAATGATTAATATTAATTTAGTGAAATAGGTATCACTAATTTTTTCTTTGTTTTTAAATTAACTATCAAAAATCATAGTTTGTTTTCATTTTGATAATTACCTAACCAAACCTTACTTGCAAAGTATGATTTATTTATTTATTAATTTACGCATAGACAGAAAATATTATATGATATTAGATAGTTTTAAATTATGATTAATAGTATTATTAAACGGGGTAAACATTTAAGTAACATTATAATATGTATATATTATTACGCGCAGCGTGAATATAATAAATAAGTATAACTAAATAAATTTAATAAATTAAGTATTAAATCCATTAAACTGATAAAGTTTAAAGTGATGAAAGAATAAAAAAATTGTTTGTGATTCTCTGTAACTGATTTCAGCGCGTGTTCGATGATTGAAATGTACATATTTTTTTAAAATATTATAATAAAAATAAAATATTATTTTTATAAACAAGGTTAGGTTAATCATCGTCAATATTACTCGTATAAACTTAAAACGGAATTGACTTCGTATAACATGCACTATATTGGTAATAGTGTAATAGGTTCTTAATGTATAGTGTAAAATTATGTAAATACATTAAATTCACGCTTTTGATTACTATATATTATATTTCCTATATGTGCACAAAATATCATGTGTTTTGGTTTAAGATACATAATGTTTATTGTAATAGTTGATTAGTATTTTTAGAAATAATTTATAGAGATCATAAATAAGTAGGTTTCATTTATAATATAATAAGGATATAATACATTATAGTTTTATGTGCTTACTATAAATCCATAATGACATAAGGGAGTAGTCGGAGTGATTCTAAAAAAATAATAATTAGCGTTCGTTCGTGTGATGGGTAACCTATGGGGAATTTGTATAAAGGTGTTATATATTATGCAACTTAATTATCGGATATTTATTTTTAAATTATATTATGTTATTAAAAACATTTTTTTTTTTTGCAAAACTTTTTGCATTAAGTACTAACTGATATTCTCCTATTAACTCATAAAATACTATAACAGACATATAGGCACCTAGTCTTTATCGACAGGCGTTTATATGTTCAAGGAAGTTAGTGATGATTCGTCCACAGGTGGCCGCATCAAATTCTGTGAGCTTGATTCGAATTTCTTCTTTTAATTGTATTATCATTCGAAGCTTATTCTCATATACTTGAGCTTTGATGTGATCCCAAAGAAATAGGGATCACATGACTTGGAAGGCCAATTTTGGTTATTGTTCCGCGAAATGACGTGGTCTTGAAATTTGTTTCTCAACAAAGCTAGGGCATGTGAGCTGTGTGGTAGGTAGTAGAATCCTATTGAAACCACATTTCTTGGATATCAATGTTATTAAATTTAGGTAAAAAAAAAATCAGTTATCATGCGTCCATAACGTTTTCCTGTGACGATCTCTGCATTTTTTTCATCAACCACAAAAAAGTCACCTACTAAGCCCTATGCTTTAAACTTTTGGATTATTTTGTGTGATACACTCACAGCTGGGGCTTGGTTATGACCCATTATTGCACGAAGTCTCCGTTCAGTTTCTGTCACACTTTCTCTATTCAGATAATGTGTCTTGACAACCAAAATTTGTTGTTCAACATTTAGGTGATCTACGACAACCATAAAAGTAAAAAGTATGGATTATCAAGTGGGAGTGATTATAGATGATAAAAATTATATCATCAACTACAAAGAAAAAAAAATGGCATGCGATAATATTTGTCTACGCTTATGAAACATTCGTAATTATAAGCTTATATTATTGACATACATATAGTGGCAATATTATATATAAGGCGTTTGACCAAACATGTTAATTCCTATGTTCTTTTTAATAATTTATTTATTTAAATAATTATTTTTGAAATTTACAATGTTTTAAGGGTTCTTATTTTCAATTATTCAGGTTTTTTTAATAAGCCGTTTTATAATTATCCCGTAAAAATAGAAACTTGTTTTTTTTTTTTAATGAGAATCATTCTTTTTGACTGTATATTTTCAAGCAGACGATAATTTTTAAAAATTTTAATATATCTAATTTAAGATTTGTATGAGTAATTTTTAAGTTATTTAAATATTTAGGATATATTTAGGATAATAGTTTTTAATTATAATAGTTTTAAAAGTCAACAAGTGATACATAGAATGCATATGATTTGTTTTAATCATGAAGATTAATCTTTAATCTTCATGGTTTTAATCTAATAATTATGAAACTCGAATAATTTTTACAAAACATAAAATGCTAATTTACAGTGTAACCACGATTTAAAGAACCACTTAATATCTCAGTTAAATGACCTTGTATTGGAATGAATAATTAAGATGGCTTAAGGGATACATACTTAAATACACATTTGTTTATGATTTGAAAATTTTTTATACTTCTGGTGTGCGCATGTGCGATACAACTTACATTTTTTAAGGCAACTTGAATCATGTTTAGAACATTATGGTGAAAATTTTGAATAATTTACAAGATAAATTTATTTAATATATTTTATTTTTTATTCTAATATTAATATTACTATTATAACTATTTTGTTAAAGGTAAATTTGATTATTACAGTTAACGAAATAAAAAAATAAAAATATTGTACACTAAAAATAATATTTAATTACTTCAAACTTATTTTATTATTTCTCAATAATTAAATAATCTGATTATCTCATCGTTATTAGAACTATTGAAAAATAAAATACAATTCCACTATAAAAATAGTTAAAATTATAATTGTAGGTATTATAGCAATCAACTGAATAAAAATTTATAATTATCACATATTCGAGGTATTCTCCCAGACGACGTACAATATTATTAAATTATTATTTGTTAACAGATTGTAAGGTAAATTAAACATTTATTTTATTATTTTCAGTGGTATTAAATGAACATTTCATTAAACATGTAGGACATGTAGGTATTATGCATAGTTATAAATGTTGACTTCTATAGTTTGGGCAGTTTTGTAGGTAGAAAAAAACTTTTTATACAAAAAACATAAAAAAAAATAATAATTTATCGAAATATGTAAAAATAATAATAAGTATTTTCATTTAAAAAAATGTAAGTTTGGCGCATGCGTACACTAAAAATGTAAAATGAGTTTTTGGCTAAATTACAATTTATAAATAGTTATGATTTAATAATTAAATATTTTGATTCTAGTATTCAGACCAACCATATAGATATTTTAATGTTAGTTTATATTTGGCTAATAAAATTTCCGCATAATTTATTTCTTCTTAAAATATACAATCTTGTGGTGCAGCGCATAAGACTTTAAAAAAAAATAATTATTTATTATTATTCATGGAAATAAGAAATAACTATTATAAGTCATTGTGATTATTTGAAGTCATAAATAGTGGTTCATTATATATAAAATAAAATATATATACATAAATAATTAACTTATAATATTATAAGTAATATTATTTAAATTTCATATGACTTTGATCAATTATTAAATCACACATCATCATGAATGGAACAATAAATTAATAATATGACCGCATTAATATCCAGACGAATTTCCTTTTCGACGGAAATCTGGCATAACCTCGATCATTCCTGATGGACTTATGGCAATAGCCGATGCTGCTGAACCACCTGATCCTCCATTATCTTTCAGTATATTTATCGGATGACCAATATCCTTAAGTTTTTGTATAACATCCTGAAAAAAAAGCAAAACACAACTTTTATCATACCATATTATCTTAAGAAATATATCTATCGTATTTATATTCTACCGTAGTCGTTCCGTATTCGTATTGAACTCGCATAGGCATTAGTTGGTGGTAAATTCTAGGTTTATCTATTACTTCTTTTAGTGTTTTATTGTACCATAGTTTCAGAGCGGATACCTGGAAATAAAATGTTTTTTGTCTATTATTTTTGTGGTCATAGAATTAGTATTGATTTTTTTTCATATTAAATTATAATAATTAATAAGACTTGAAATTATCAATATTATATTTAGTATTAACTTCTTAAAAAATTATTTGAATTTATTCTTTATTGTATAGAATATTAAGTAATTTTTCTATTAGTAAACATTATTATCTTAAAATAAAGTATTAACGCTTTAAATAATTTGAATCAATTAAAATGTATATTAATAAATATTAAATATACATACAAATGTTGATTTAAGTCACTTTTGTTTATTTTCAACAAATTTTATACAATTAAAGATAATGAGTTTTGAATGTAAAACAATCATTCTGCGGTATAAGTAGCACGAATACAAATTATAATATAAATTGATAACTAAATATTTTAAAATTAAATTAATGAATTAAAGGAATCTTACATAGGAAGTAGCGAGGGTGATTTTTGAACCTCCTGCTGCTCCTGCCGCGAGAGCGAAATCACCATTTTCATCGGTAAATATAGTTGGGCACATAGAAGACATTGGTCGTTTGCCTGGTTGTATGAAATTGGAGGGTGACGGTGGAATTCCGTAATGGTTGGTGAGCCCCGGTGTCGAAAAATCATTCATTTGGTTATTGAAAATAATACCAGTGCTAGGAGACATGAAACCAGAACCAAAGCTAAAACAAATACAAATGTGATGTGTTAATAAGTATTGTAACTTTATGCATGATCAATTTTGGGAAATGTAGAAATCTATACTTACTGTGTATTGATTGTATTAGTGCATACAACAACGTTCCCCATCGAATCAATTACACCAAGGTTGGCAGTTCCATGATTATCTGGCATATCATAGTCAGCTCCATAGTATTTAGGGTCTAATGAAGTGAAATTATCAAAAATTTTATTTTGTATTTTTTTTATGTAACTGTCTGATTTCACTTTATTGAAAATCTGAAAAATTCAATTTATTTACATGTATTATACAGTGGAACCTCGATAACTCGAATCGGTTGGGGGTGAAAAAAAAATTCGAGTTATCGAAAATTTGACTTATAGAAGTTCGAGTTATCGAGGTTCCACTGTATTAGTATTAAACGTTTAAAGTGTTTGTTAAATAGAACATACTTGAGACACGTTTATAAATTTATGATCTCCTAAATGGGTTCTTTCACCGTATCCAAATTTAAATGCCTCCACCAATCGATGTGCGTCTAAGCCTGCGTTTGGTGCTGGTAACAAACCGTCCAGCACACGAAGTATGTATGCTAATATTATACCAGAACCAGGAGGTGGTCCTGTATGTATTGTATATCCATTCTTTAATTTTACAGGAAAAGTTTCTTCGATTTCAATACTGTAAACATATTATTATAATATATTTATTTTTATTAATTTGTTAATTTGGAAATTACATTTTTTTTTTTTTTTTATCAAGAAAAACAATTTACAATTAGTATATAATAATTACAATAAGCAAATTTTATATTTGCATAGAATAAAGAATAAAGAGAAATTACTTATAATAGATAATAGTAGTCAATTTAAATAAAATATTTGTGTGAAAAACATAATTAAAACTTAAAATTGATTTGTTTAGTCATATTTATTATAAATAAATGTTGATATTTTTACTACAGATACCACAGAACATTTACAGTTCATTTGATTTAAAAATGTATACTCACTAATAGTTTGCTAAATCTTCTTTTGTAATAATACCATTTACTTTTTTTAAATCGTCTACTAATTTTGATGTTAATGATCCATTATAAATGGCATCTACTCCTTCTTTTGCTACAGTTCTAAACGTTTTTGCTAATTCTGGTAACGTGAAAAATTCTCCAGTTTTTTTTGAACGTCCGGTATTTTCATCAAAAAAAGTTTTTCTTTAAACAAATAAAGAATTTTATAAATTAATTTTAAACTTCTTTTAATATGCATTGTTTAATTCACATAGAAAATTATATAAAAAATCTATTTTTTTTTTTAAAGAGTCTATATTAAATAATCATATAAAATATAGATGAATATTCCCATAATATATACCTAAGCATAGGATCAGCTTTTATTATCTCTACATCATCTTCCAAACTTATTTCTAGATGTTTACTGATTTTTATGCCTTCTTCACATAATTTTATTGATGGTTCAAAAAGTGATTCCCATGGAACTCCGCCACCGTATAATTTATAAATTTCTGAATAACCCTTAAATGCTCCTAGAACTCCAACGGCCAAACCTCCTGGAATATTTTAAATCAAAAATAAGATATCGAAGAATATTTTTAATTATTTGTTTTTATACACGCATAAATATATTTTGAAAACTAATAGATGTTGCTTATACAGTTATATATGCTCATTGACCTTATTGAAAAGCGATATATGTAAAATTTGGCAAGCGTATCTCAAAACCTTGTCATTCAAGTAAATGTATGAAGTATATGAACAAATAAATTTGTTTGAATTTATATTTTTAAATTAAGTCAGTTATGTTATGAAAGCGATAATATTATCAATAAGAAATGTGAAGATTTTAGTAGTTTGATATTAAATTTAATTAATTATATACTTATGTTTAAAAAAAAAAAAAAAAAAAAAAAAATGATAGCTATAGGATTTAGATCATAATTATTTAAAAATGAAAGCATTGAATTGTATTGGAATGATTCAGTAGTAAATAATTCATTTTCATTACGAATATTTAATGTTTATTCCTCACATTCTTAACGATATAGAATATTTTATTCAATAATCGTATTTTACAATAATAATTGTATTTATTATTTTTAAATCGGTAAGACAAATTATTGTGAAAGTTATATACGAATTTTCATGTTGATCAAGTTAATTAGAAATTAATTATTTGCAAAGAAAAAATCAAGTAGTTCATATTATGTCTTATACTTTTAACTATATTTAAAAAAAAAAATGCAATTTATAACCTGTTTTAATAGAAGAAAACACGTATTTTTGTATACTATTGTTAACATTGATATTAGATGCATATGTTGCATAATAAATAAATAAGCACATAGCTTTATAGATATTGAGCGTAGGTGCTTAATATTAATGACAAATGGGAGTACTAAGCACACCAAAGTCACCAATCTCACCCAAATTGTACTTATAATAATAAATAAGAGATTATTTACTTTTTTATTTCTATTTATAATATATACCGTTTATAGAACTGTTTGGATCTTTTACAAACATGTTTGTTGTTGCTGCAGCTGGAGCTGTTTCACGTGCATTAATCCACATTACTTTTTTGCTTGTAGAATTGTAAAAACTCATAATAAAACCTCCGCCAACACCCATTTGATGAGGACATAAGATACCGTCACATAAAATTGTAGCTATTGCGGCATCTATGGCATTTCCACCTTTTGATATCACATCCCTGTTTTAAAAAATAAAAAATAAAATAACTATGCAAATATTTATTGATTATAAGTATCCAAAATTAATAACACGATTTTTAAATTATATGTTGCAGCTGACAACTATAATCTAAAATACTAATGCCTTACATTTATTTTTATGAATATTATCAACACAGAAATTCTGTAAAATTTTGAGAGTAAATTAAATATAGAAATAAAAATTGTATTCGTTACTACTAATAATTAGTATATATTTATTTGTATTAGTATAAATTTAATAGTTTACTATTTAGAATATTTTACAGTATATTAGGTTATTATGAAAATAAATACTATACTCGTAAACCCTTAAATAAATAATACATGTAACTATTTATTAAAAAAAAAAAAATTTTAAAATACTACATAGCTTTTAAACGTGTGCATGATATTTTTAATGATTATGTCATCAGAATACTGAAGTTGATAAAATTTGTATTATATTTAAAATGAATGTATATTATATTAATTTGTATTACACTCCGATTTGTGCACATGGTCCGCCGTTTGATACGACACCGACCTTTTTGTACAAGCCCATTGGCATACTTGATGGTGGCAATGGAAATTCTGGGTCGATAGTTTTAGTGTTGGAGTTATTATATTGTGTGAATATGATTATTGCCGCAACTGTAGCAGCGAAAAATAATAACACACCAACTAAAACTAGAACAAGACATCGTTTTGACAGTAATCTGAAAATAAACAATACAATTTTTAGTATAATTTATTAGATCTAATACTAATAGCAGTTTTTAATAAAATTATATGATCAAATAAGGAATATAATTATATTATATTTTGTTTAAACATAAAAAAGTACCAGAAATCTTATATAGAAATAACGATATTGTAATAATATTGTTAACAATTAGTGAAAAATTAATAATAATTAATTATTAATAGCTAATAAATTATGATTATATTTAAAAAATAAAAATAAGGTTCATTTATGACCACGTATTTAATATGTAAATTTAGATATTTTGCGATTACATAAAAACTATTAATTAATAATAGTCCAGTATAAGTTAATAAAATATTTTATTCTTAACTTATTTTCTAATTTGAATAATAGATTAATCTAAAAGAAAATTAAAAAAAAAAAAAAAAAAATACAAATATGATCAGGGATGAGTATTATTAAGTTATTCTTCGTTGGGAATTGAAAGTTCACATTCTTGAAAATATCCAGTAGATCGAGAAAAGGATTGCTTCTCAGGGAAAAAAATTGAAATCTATATTTTTGGTAAGTAATTTTATTTTCTTTCGACAATAGGTAATTTATAATTTTAAGATAAATGATATTTAACATTATTATGTATTATAATAGATCAATTCTACCTTTATTGAAATAAATATTAGTCAATATAAACCAAGTAAATATAGATTTTTCCAATACTAATACACAATTTAACAATTATTGTTGAATTTTGTTGGTCACTTACAAAGTTACAACCTTATACCTATTTAGTAAAAAAGCTGTGCTCACAAAAATAATATCGTATACATTTTTTGAGATAGGCAATAATTATAACATTGTATTATTATATGAAAATATTAATTATAATTTTATGTTAAAACTACCGTGAATTGTGATGAGTACCTCGTATATAGTGTATTTCAATTATTAACTATACATTTTTTTTTGTCTCATGTTTACTAATTAGTATCTAGTTTACATACATGATATGTTTTCTATTTTTTTTTTACAACGTGATGATTAATAAAAATTAATTGATTATCGTGAATTTTTCAATACTCTTGAGAATTTTTGTTAAATTACGTATTGCCTAAAATTTCTTGACACCTGTTGTACTTATAGTTTTATTATACGGCTAAATATTAGCCATTAAGCCTAAGCTTAATATAAATAAATGGACACTAATTAGTCGTGTATATTGAAATATTTTTGAAATAACTGATAACGGGTAATTTGGGCAAATATTGCTAGAAAACAAAGTTCAATAATAATTTATTTAAATAATAAATAATTAATAATTCTAAATAACGATAAAATAATTATGCCTCGTGAATACTGTACATAATTCTAATTATAGGTACAATTAGTCTAGTTAAAACATAATCGATGATACGTAGAGCTGAAATTGAAGCTGATATGATTTTTTTTAAATTCCGTAGGTGCCAGGTAGAATAAGTAATCAATAAGTAATCGGGTCAATTTCATATTTATCAGAAGAAACTAAGTGATAGAGCCAATTAATATTAAAGAAATAAAGTTTGATATCATGTGTTGATTGTCTAAATCTAAATTAAAAAGGTTATAATATACATTTATAACTAAAAAGCTCTTTGTTATTTATCTATTATTTAAGTAAGGTTGCGCTATTATTAACTTGAGACAAACATTAAATATTTTTTGAAGTCTTTGTATAGTTATACTTTGTATATAAAATTAAAGTGTAGTTAGAATATAATGTGAACAACTAAATTAAATGTTATAATCGTTTGAAATGTATATGTTATCTTAATATGATGGTTATGAAATTATTAATGAGAAGATCAAGTTAAATTTTAAACGCGTAATCTATAGGTGTATAATACATGTTATAAACTAATAAATAATTGTAAAATTATTATCATTTATCATAAAAAAAGTCTAGAGTAACTAGACTAAATAGTCAATGAGAACTACATAACGGTATAACGTATGAAACATTATAAAAAATCACTATTTTCAATTCAAATATTTATCAATTTGGCGATAGAAATTAAGAAGTGGATATATATATAGACTGTTTAATGAAGAACAAGGATTTAGTCTTGTTATTAATTTATTAAAAAAAATTATTTTGAACGAAAGAATCATATAAATCTGTAGTACATACTCTCCGTTTTAAGTGTGGAATATTACATCTGGCATATAATATATACACCTCGGATTCGCTGGAAAGTTTCTGTTTAGATCACGAAATTTGATATTACTTGCTGACACATATCCAGGTCTAGTTCATCAATGACACGACGAATTTCTTTTTTCTTTTTTAAGTTCTTCAATTATGTCAAAGCTCATGTCTACGAAAACAAACCACGAACAATTGAAGAACTTAAAGAGGAAATTCGTCGTGTCATTGGTGAATTAGATTCGGAGATGTGTCAGAAAGTGATAGTAAATTTCGTGATCCGAACAGAAGGTTAGGTTAGGTTAGGCCAGCGAAGCCGAGGTGGACATGTGCCAGATGTGATATTCCATACTTAAATTGGAGAATATATACTACAGGTTGATATATTTTTTTTTAATAAAGTTATAAGAAGATTAAATTCGGCGTACTCAATGAAACACCTTATAATATATAGTATAAATTATTACATAATTATTTTTAATTATTTTTGTACTTAAATTATCTATCAACAGAATGTTGTATCCGTATGGGTTAACAATAATAGTTGACTCCATCTTACTAATGGATAACATAGTAAATTCTACATCCAGAAAAATCAATTTTACTTTGTTCATTTTAAAAATAGAGTGAATTAAACCATTGAACAGTTATACAATTTAAAGGTAAAATTATCATTTAGAGTTCATGAAGGTTTTTATTTATATTTTAATTTTGAAACAAGTTATGTGCATTTAAAATTATCAATTTAAGATGCAAGTCCTCTTAAGTCGAACTTAATATTTAAATTTTTATAAAAATGAAATATTTTTAAAAGAGTTTATAATAACTACCTAACTATATTAAAACACAACTAATAATATGAAATATGATATAAGTTACTGTAAAAATAAATTTACAAGATTAAAAAAATTTGTAATTTTACTATTTGTTGTTAACAAATAGTTCAATCAGAGTATTGATTCCAGAATGCATAATGATACAATTTTGAAGAAAATATTAATATAAAGGTATTAAGGGTTTACACGTTATAACTAAATAATTTTTTAAGCTAAATTATATTATAAAATTGTATTCAGGCTGTAAAAATAATTTATTTATCTAATTAGTTTCTCTTTAAATTTTTTTAACACAAAAATAACAATAATACACAAAACCAATAAAATTAATTTTATTATTCGCTTTGGATTTAAAATAAAATATAATTTAACACATTATTAAAATAATATAAATAAATCAGTTTTTAAAGCATCTTTTAAATGATAAAAATAACAAATTAAAATTTGAATTATTTTGAAAATTTAGCATTAATAAAATATCGAAGTACGACTCATATTGATGAAAACACTGCTAAAGAATTAAGGTATAAGGAATCAATAACTAATCTGCATAACTATGTGATGTTATCAATGTATAGGTGTAATTTATTAAAGAGTATTCTCGCTAGAGTATAATATACTAATTGATAATAATAATTGTACTTTGTACTTATATGTATTATGGCTCTTGTAAAATCGTGCCAAATTGCAAATTTAAATCTGGGCACACAATATAGCTACTATTTGTTTAATAGTTTGTAAACTTGATATATAAGTAAGTTATATTATATCACTTACAATTTAATTCATTTTTTTTTTTAGAGATTTTTAGTAAAATAATACGGAAATTTTATGGTTATAATAAGTTAAAAATTAGTAAAGAATAATAGAATTCCAGGATAAGTAAGTAATTTTAAGATTTAAAAAAATAGAACCAACAGTATAAGCAGTTAAGAAAAAAAAAGAATCATTTAAAAAAAATTATTTAATCGAGTTATCAATAATTGGCCATTATACTATTTGACTATAAAATTTGAATAGATATATTTGCAATTTGTACTAAATCAGAGTTATCAGACCCATAATTGACAAGACATTTAGATACGCCTAAAAACAAACCACGTGTATTTTGCATTATATGAAGTTTATATCACGAGAATTTATATTATTTAAAAATATTTTGGCTCACAATTTGCACCAAATCTATTAGTATTTAATGTATTGTATGTTAATAAAAATATTTTACGTATTAATTGCATATTTAATAATTATGCTTTATATTAGTTTTTTTTATTAAAATACGTCAATTATTTCGATTTTTATAATCAGTAGTAGTGAATTTATTTTTTATAAATTGTATTTTAAAGCAAATTAAATTAGTTTAGAAATTCATATTGTAGTCTAGTAATCTAATAGTATAATAAAAAAATAAATTTACTAAAATGTTTATTTAATATCAACCTTTTACAGGAGTACTAAGTTACTAATAGCTTTTGTTTTTGTTTAGAATTTTGGGTGTAAGCCAATAAATTAAATTATAAATATGATAGGAATAACCTAATTATGTTCTAAGGATTATAGAAAGATGCATTGTGTTAATTACAAAATATGAGCTTTATTTTAAAACAAATAGTAGAAGCATGAAATAAATTAAGTAGGTAAGCATTAAACAGTTTAGAGAAGTGAAGATTCTATGATGAAAAAATATGAATGAAAGAAAATACACGAGACATAGATTAAATAAGTAAATTTGTGATATTTTATAAGACGGTTGAAATCCGAAAGAATAACGAAAAATAGTTATGTTAATTAAGTCTGTAAATTGAAGAGGATAGTATATAAGCAGAAAAAAAAATTAAATTAGAAAGTTTGATGATTGTTAGTGAACGCCGCGGCTGCTGAAATTTCGCTTCTATCATCTCAGAAAAAAATAGAAGTGTATTAAAAATGAATATTTCATTCTTTTTGTTTTTCTTAGACTCTGTTATAGACTTAAAAAATATTAGATCATTTTGAAAAGTTTA